TAGAGCCATGTGCTCATAAATTCCCAATGCACATTGGCTACTCAAACACCTTCCTTAATTGGTAGTATAGTTTGGCTTGTGCACATCTTTCATCGTTGGACAAGTGGATAGGAATATTTGTTAATAGTATTGTCCAAATAGAAATTAATCTCAAGATCACTTATGGATATAATAGTTACATATCTATGTTTATTGTCTATTATGTTAGAATCATGATGTGTGATGGGATTACACATTATGCAATCCATTTTTATCCATGAGGTTTTGAGGTGTGCTTCTAATTGTCCTGCTTCTGTTAGCTACTTTGTTCATTTCTTGGGGTTCTATAGAGAAATCAGCAGCTTCCAATTTCTCTAAAGCTCGGGGAAAGGATAGGTTGCTGGTAACCATAGTCAAGATCATGGTGCGTGGTCTGGCTCGCCTAATCTTCTGTGACATTGACTAAGTTTTCTTCCATTTGGATATAGTCCTTATTATTCAATATTTATATTATTGATTTTCATTTAAAAAAAAAAAACAACTAACCATAGTTTAGAACAAGATTCTAGAAGATAGCGCGAGTTAGGTTTTCAGATGCAAGAAACATTGGAATTTAAGAACTAGTAGGAAAATAAATAAATAAATAAATAAAGATAAATCGAAGTGAAATTAACCTTAAGAAGAATGGGAGATGATGGTTTAGAAGTCAAAGAACACAACAGAAGACAACTTCATTCATCAATCTACCGTATCAATAACGAATTACAGAGCACATATTTATAATAACCTACTTGCTGCAAACAACAAAAATACAAATAAAATAGGAAACTAAATTAATAAATTCCTAAAATATTATTCAGCCTCTTTCTCCTTCGAAAATAAGAACTCGACTCCATTCGAGTTAAAGGAGGGGTCAAGGACATCATTGCCTAGCCATTGTCAAACGGATCCAAGACATGAACATCATGGGGAAAATATAGGATTCCAATCATTTCCTTACCATAATTGTCTGATGGTGTTGCAAAGGTTGCTTGAAAATTTTACAATGCAAGTACGTAGGACGCAAGAAGCTAGAATAGGATGTGTAGCATGATAACGGTACTTTGTAGAACAAGAACAATTATATTTCAATTGAATACTAAGAGTCTCCTGGTTGACTACCGGACCATGAAATTAAGACTGAAACATCTTGTGTCTCGAGTACACATGATATTGTCTTTATCGTTGATTCGTCATATTGAACTATCTGAGCTTGTTTAGCCATCAATTGAGGCAGCTAAAGTTGCACGAAATTATTGGCATTCATGGTTCTTGTCACTTTTCTTTTTTAATGCAGTAGTAGCCGAAAACTAGAATTTAGGAGATGGATGATCGAAACAAATTAAGATGCCGCCGATGGAGGTTTGGCTTTTATGCTAATTGATGTAAAACAACTCACCAGAATTTAGAATTTAGAAAGAGATTCCGGAAGAGAACAGTAAGTGGTTTCAATATACGAGAAATAGAGGAAGTTTAACTAGAAGTAGAAGACAAATCATGACGATCACTCCTCAACGAAAGGAATCACTCGATGATTCTTAATCCCAAGTGGTAATTCCAAACATGCATAGATGTTAAGAAAAAGTAACTTTCCTGAAAGATCATTGAATATATTTGCAATTTATAATGTCTTAGTCATGTTTGTAGAAGTAATTTAAGATTAAATGAACACACATGTTACCTTGGTGAAGTAGTTTTTAAGGAATTAATGTATAGTCGTTCACTCTTGAATTTGATAGATGTAAACGTGTCACTGTCAATTAGTAGAGGAATGAAATTGAATAAATTGCGCATTGTAAAATCAAGTTCTAAACATGAAATTATGGATTGGGTGGAAAAAAAATGACCCAATGCATGCTAATTTCTATACATTTGTTTCAAACAAGGACTTTTTAAGTCTCGCAATCGCCACTAACTATTGTTGTCAATATTCAATTTGCAATTTTATAATCAAGACCATTTCAGATGTGTGTATCAAAAGGTCTAAAGAATATAACTTTTTTACTTACTAAGTATTGTTTCAACCTAAGATTGATCTATAACATTAAGATTTTAAAAGACGCTAGGCGCTCCTCAGGCGGCGAGCTGGGGCTTAGCGCCTAGGCGGCTAGGCGAGCACCTAGGCAGATTTAAGTAAATCTATTATATTTTGTGTAAATAAGTGTGTTTATACTTAAAATAATATAATTTCATTATAAACTACAAAATAGAATGACATATATATTATGATGTATTGGAACATAATTAAAACATGGGGAACATGCATATAATGTGCATTCATTTAAGCATTCAACAAGTTTCTTACAATTTATTGAAAAAAAATAAAATGCAAAATGAAAGTTATCTATTTTCTGTTCAAGTGAGTTGCAACCTAGGCGGGTCTAAACTGACTAGGCGGTCTAAGCGGGCGCCTCAACAGCTCTAAGCGTCATTTCTTAATTTTCAAACATGTAGGCACTAATTAAGGCGGTGACCAACCGCCTAGCGCCTAGGCGGTGCTAGGCGGGGATTTTTAGAACAGTAGCAGACTGCTACACAAGTGTGAGTTCATATATTAGCATCATGACTATAATATATCGAACTCATGAGTTCAACAAATTGATATCACACTCAAATTCTCCAATCCACTGTAAGAATATGATTCCTATATGAATTCAATGTAATGATATAACACTTACTTTTTTCAACTTACAGTAGAATTCCTAAAGGGAAATAAGTTGGCTCAACCGTTCCTGTTGCTAATTATATCGGTTGCCCCGCAAACCATTTGCTGTGGAGAAATCTTACAACAAGAGTGCAGGCCACATTAAAAATCCTAATTTACAAAACTTGCACAAACAATCCTGCTCTCTTAAGGTTTTTATTTTGAGGTCTTGTGAGAATTAAATACATACTAGTCACAAGATTATATTAGTTTAGATCAAAATGTTTAAAATATTTGACAATTTAATAAAGCAAAACAAGAAAATGAGTTTTCTATTAGTTCATGAGTTTTAAGTTGGTTTTGCTTTATTTTTAAGTGCAAGTACGATATTCATGTCCTTAAAATGAAGATCATAGGAGAGCTGCTTACAAAAAAATGTCAATTAACAATAAAATTTAGTAATTTCATTTTCTTTATAATTACGAGATCTTAAAGTCAAGTACCGTCAATACTAAATTCAAACTGAATTATTACGACTAACCATTTATATGTAATTTGAAAAGTTTGAAAGAACTTGTCCACCTTGTGCTTGCAAGATGAAAAGGCACTTTGCCATTGCCAATTAAACCAAGGAATAACTAACTAGTGCCAATGTATATTTCGAGTGAAGGAAATTGGCATAAATTGACAAGTTGACAAGTCCACTTCCAGATTTAATTGCACAGATTAAGACGGGGGGTTGGAAAGTCAAATACCATCTCCTCCTTTTAGGACACCGATTTAGGTAACTAATAACTGAGAGTCGTAGCCAGACAGATGTCACTAGCTAGAGGAGAAAATAAATTCCATCACCAAACCAGAAACAAAGAATTGCGTCAGTTCTTTATCCAATCGCCTATACGTGTGCATCACTCCTTCAATTGCGTTACTCATCATGATCCCGCATTCTTATCCACAGATTCAGATTTAGCTAGCGTCAATCGCTCATGTGTTGATGTCATTATGTTTTATGCGAGTATTTATAACTGTTATCAGTTTAAAATATCTTGTAACACTTTAAAATAAGCATGAAACTCTTTTAAATGGGTGTTAAAATGTCTTGTAACACTTTAAGTAGGCATGAAACTCTTTTAAATGAGTGATTTGTTATATCAAGCGTGCCACTGTTGACAATACCAACAGAAAAGTTGAATTGTAATGTTCGTCGTGATCTTAGACTTTACTCATTCAATTTGTGTGCCCGGAGAAGGAAGTGCAATTGAATGTAAACTTGCACCACAAGTAAACTAAGTTTCTATTCAAAAGGTTATGCCATGAATGTGGTTAAAATCAATGTTATGTTCTTTTTTATACCTTGTTTATGAAAAATCTTCAATTTTTTTTTTTTTATGCATGCCAAATGAAACTAAAAAACAGTTACCACTTGGCTCAACTTAGTTTGCAATTCTCACGTAGATATAATCACAGAAATAGTCATTCAGTTTGGGACCAAGCGCTTAAGGGCCATGTGTGGCCTAGGCAGGGGTTTAGGCGGATTAAACGGATTTAAGTAGATTTATTATATATTGTGCCTATTTATACTTAAAAAAACACATAATTATATTTGGACACAATAATTGCAAAATAAAATGTCATATAAATTATAAAGTATACAACAAATTGAAAATATGGAGAACAAGTATAATGAGTGTTCATCCAAGTTTCAACAAGTCCAAGTCAGAGTTGCGACCTATATAAAATATCAAATGAAAGTTGTCCATTTTTTTTATAAGTCAGAGTCGTGATCTAAGTGGGTGCCTAGGCGAGTTTAGGCGGGCTAGACAGGCACTTAAGCGGTCTAGGCGCACTTTTTTAATTTTCAAACGCCTAACAACTAATCGGGACCTGACCGGTCATATTGTGTGGTTAGAAATAACTCTTCACATTTCTGTATGGGCGGTAATGCACAACGAATAGACCATAGTCATTGGATTTCACTACATTGCTTCCCTATAGGGCAAAATCATCGTCACCATTGATTTTGGCAACTCGAATGTGCTTTGATCATCGTCACCACTGATTTTGGTGACTCGAATGTGCTTTGAAGCTCAAAAACACAATCGAGTTGCCAACATCACTAACAGAGTAGCCAACATCATTATTATCGAATTTGTGGACGTAGGGGTTCGGGAATCCTTTGTCGGAATAACCCCAAGTGGCGTTCGAGAGCGAAGGATGCTTGTGGGAAGGACAATTCCAGCACTCAGTTGGATGTTGAGAGCTGAACGAACACGAGGAGTACGCCAAAATTGACCCATTTCTCCGGTGCTCTTCCGAGGGAACTTAACAAACCAATGCATGAGCAAGATAAAATCAAATACTGTAGAGCAATCTTTCAACATACAAGCTCTCAAAACGATTATATACAAAAGACCATCGTCGTATTCCAAGGGCTATATAGTACATGCAAGTGTATGAAAAGGAGAGACAGACTTAAGCTAGGGAAAAAGAGAAACCAAGCCAGCACAACGCTCGGTCGACAAAATTTAATGCCAATGGAGCCACCATATGCGCAGCCTTCGGTAATGTCGGGTAGGTAAGTGTTCCAAGTATGAACCAGTTGAAGCTTAAGAGAGCAACAGCGTCCGTAGCAGGTCTATTCCTTATGGTCGAGAAAAACTGAACCACGCTCTTGAGTGACATACCAACCACGGAGAAAAGAGCCACGACAAGGGGCATGCAAGGGTCTTCCGCTTGCCAAATGATAATCCCAACCAAAACTGATAACACTGCACTGAAAAGACTCTGTTTGATTGCAATACCCCTTCGCTGGTAAAAAACTTCACTCATATCTAAATTTCTGAGGCTGATTTCAGGCATAACAGGATGTATAGGTCCACTGGATACTGGTTCATTTCTTAAGGTTTTGAGCAACTCCATATTAGTTTTGCTTTCGTCCCCCCATATATCTTTGTGCATCAGAAGGTCTTGACGGATGAATTCACTTCCATCATAACGGGATTTCCATGATGGGATCCCAATGGCTGTACTCTGGGCATTGCCTGTTTGATCTCGACCTTTGTCGTTCCATCCTTTGCCCTGAATTTCTTTTAGCCGCAGATTTTCAGTTTTCAGATCGTGTAACTGCCAAAGCACATAAAAGGGTCAGTATTCAGTGAAGTATAAAACGGGACATAGTAATGCATATATATAGAAAGACAATCTAAATTTGCATTGCAAGCAACTTAGCAACCGTGTCTCTTGTTGTGTCTTGTTTAAGAACTGAGAGAAGGGTTTCTTGTTTTCATTTTCAGAAGTAAGAGCAAAGTCTGTAAGTGGTTGATCATTCAACTTAAATTAGTATCAGAAGAAAAGCAACCCAATTTTCCAAACCGCTCGGAAACCACCTAGTCATCTAACACCACAAAAATAGTAGACAATGTTTATTGCAAAAACTGAGATACCCGTGATAATATCAAACGATTAAACAATTTTCAACGTTTGCTGATTTTGTCATTGATAACTGTTAAATGGGATCTAAGAACTAGATGGTGCAGGGTAACCACAAGAATAAGATCTCTTTTGGTTCTAATCAAAATGGACTCTCTTAAGAAGGGGATTCTTAGTTTCAATTGTTAAATTTAATCATTACAAGAAATATAGATTCAAATCCTTTCTATTTCCTCATAAAAAGGTGCAGGCTCACACATACATATTGGCATGTCCTTATTTTGGATCGCTAAATATTGGCACACCAAACACCAGAGCCAGAGGACACGCGATATTCTTGTTCCACAAACTATACTAGAGAAGTTACAAATTAGAAGTGTTTAGTCATGTCTGGCATAGTAAGAAATACTTAAAGTGCAGCAAGAGTAGTTGAATGCGGTTTTTGCCACTAGCTCAAGGCATGCAAGGGGATGATATAAGTCATTACCTTGCTCACTAGCAGATCAATTTTGGCAACGGCCTTGTCATGTTCCTCTTCAAGTTCTGCTAATATCAACTCCATCATTCTTTGTTCTTTAATGGCTGTAATTAGATGCTCCTGAAGTTCTTTTCTATCCCATTCGAGATTCTCCAACTCAATTTGCATATCGTGTAAATGTTTTTCCAGCTGTTAACATAACAACATTTCTCGTAGCTTAAGACATACCGAGAGAAGATGAAATTTAGGAACCATAATACAATGAGGAAAATAACCATCTAGCAGATGAAGCATAAACAGATGCGAAATAACTAAGAGCCAAACAACTGGAAATAAACATCATCAAAAGCAAGAGCAGACATAGTAAACGAACAAATGCCATCACCCTAGTCTCCAGCTAGAGCACAAATCATAACCATCCATTATCTTTGACACATTTGATTTCAAATAGGAGTACCTTACAGAGTCTCGTAATAAAAGAGTTAATCCCTTCGACCAAAAAAATAAAATAACAAACAGCTAATTCATGTAACCATGACTATAAAGTCAATCCAGAAAAAGGACTCAAGAGAAAACAACGGTAACATTTCTAGTCAGCTTTCTCAAACCTGAAAAGAGGCACAAGAATGACCCCACACTATACGCATGCACACGTACACACAATCCTTTTGCAAACTTTCAGAGTTAAACAAACTGGTAGTAGTAGAATGCAGCAAGTGATGTATCAGAGGTACAAGAAGGTTAGCACTCTCAGAGTTTATCTCGTAGTTTCTATACATTGAGTCAGTCGTCTATAATTTTTGTTCCTAGTTCCTTTTCTTTAGAACGGTTCCCTAACCATGTAGTCATCGTCCTCCCTCATTGGTTCATGGCTCTTTCATTGGAAATTAAAAATGAAGTGAAATGAACTACAGGACTCCCTTTTTCTCCTAAACATTTGTGATCTGAAATGAATAAAAACTTACAAGCGTGAGATTTATTAGAAAGTTATGCTCAATCACACAAGCAACAAAACAACATACAAATAAACAAACAAAAATTTATAGTAAACTGGTCATAAATGGAACCAAAACAAAAAACACAACGGGTGAGGATGGGATGTTTTTAATATAGTTACATGCCACCATACCAAAGCGAACCAAAAGAAAAACACACATAGTGAGAATCTTCGTATAATTACATGTCAACATGCCAGTCTACTTATCTTAGTAAATGTCATGCTCAAAATATGTGTTTCCAAAATAGGAAAGTAAAATTGACAGAAAGCAGATAAAACCAACCTGCCTCTCCCTCTGTAAGGCAGTCAAAACACGCCCGGGCAGGGATATAAGTGCCAATGTCCATATCATGATTCTCCAGAATATGTTCACATGGAAGCAGACTGCTGCCCTCAACAAATCCAACCATGCATGAATGACAATAAAAGTAGTCTTTATGCCAAACAAGCATAAGAGCTTCAAAAGCGAGAAAGGCCGAGTCACCAAGATTATTGTGATAGTTATTAACTCAGAAAGCAATGCCATCACATCGACCGGTATTAGTGCCTTTTCTAATCAATTAGTCTGTCACAGTTTGCAAGACATGATGTAACTTATTTTTGAGTTCCTACCATCCTGCATAAGCAATGAATCCTTATGAAATACGAAACAAAAGAAAAAAAAAAACTAAATAAATAATTGAAAAGGTTCTCTGAAACACAGATCCGAATTTCAGTTCTAATGATGATAGAGATCTCAAAAATATATCGACTACACGTCTCATAAAATTTGGTAACTTTAAATGATCACAGTTCCCAACAAAGTGTCAAATTCCATTGCATGTCCTGAAAAATGAGACTTCTGGTCTATCTGACTCCCCACTGCAATATCTCATAACAGTAATGGTGAAACAAAGAAGATCGATGAACAAAACATTCCCAATCATCTCAACAAATATTAACAATGCCAGTGGTGGATTGCCACCTTTCTGCTCAACCCACTGCATTCCGAGTTCAAACCCTTCCAATCCCCTTAGTGTCTTAGTGTAATTTAGAGCAGTAATATCGCTTGTAACCAAAACAAATATCAACAACAGAACTAACGCGATTCAATAGAAAGCTGAACCAAGATAAAGAATGCTTCAACCTCAGATCGAATCGAATCAAACTACTTCGGACTATATTTACTAAAATGAAATGCCGAAAGAAAACCCAAAAAATTAAAAACAAAATAAAACAGAGTGTTAAATCATACCCAAAACTGTTAACCGGAAAAGTAGCAACAGACCACAAAAAATTCCATCTGGGGAACAAATATGTGAAAAACCCAGTAACCCATCTTCCTTCAAACCCAAAATAACACAGAAGCATGCCGAGAAAGCATATCCATTAGGAAATTCTTACGAGAAAAAAACGAAAAGAAACTCTAACCGAGAATTTTCAGATAACCAATGAAACACAAAAAAAAGCGGAAGACGATGGCGATACTACAGAAGAGGAAAAGAACACTTACGCAGCAGGGCGCAGAGGGTGCGACTTGAGCTTAGAGAGAGAGAGAGAGAGAGGAGAGAGGAGTGAGAGTGGATGTGTGCAGTGCTTGTTCCTATCAAAAGCAGTTGCGGAAATGCAGAGGTGGCAGCAGGAGCATGGCCAATGAGTGACACGTTTTCGGTGAAACATATATTGGGACTTTAAATAGATGGAACTTCCCTCATCCTGTCATCCAACATTAATCTTCTTTCTAAGTGAAAAATTACAGAGTTTGGATCACTCGGTGACATCATTCGTTGCAGATTTCTTTAACTGGAAAGTTGGCATCAAAATTTAAAATTTTGGGACGTTGGAAATGGAAGTACGCTTTGGGAATGGAACCTTGGAGTGCCTTCTACTTCCGGGCACACATGCTATGTTATATGCGAGTTTTGTTCTTATATAGGCTTCATGCTAAAGGAATTGTCAATCAACCAGAGTTTTAATTTTAATTTAAGAACGAAGGAAAAAATACAACAAAAAAATTAATAACTACCTATTATTGTGTTAAGAATGAATGGTGAGTAACCACAATTTTTTTAGACCACAGAGGCTAAGATAGGGGGGACACATTTTTCTGAAACACTTTCTTAAGGCTCACTCTATTTCTTTAAGGATTTTAGCCCTTATATTTCAATTCAGCAGTTATAAATTATTCTCTAAAAATAATTAGACGAATTTAAAACTATTAAAATATTTATTTGCAATGAAAAAAAAATTGACGAATATGGTTTCACAAAAACCAAAAAACAATAAAATGCAACTGGCACTTTACCGTAATAGCTGAAACAATTATAACTACGTATTCTGATGCAGAATCGATTCCCACTGATTCGCCTTCCTCCTACCAACTAAATATTAACCCACTAATGATATCCTTATATTTAAAAAAATATATATATATATATATAAATAAAACTAAATTAACTACTTGAACACGAAATTTCCCGTGACAAATGAAATAAGAACTCGTGCACAATAAATGATTTATGTTAATGTAAGGTTTAGGGTTATAATCTCTTATACAAAGGGTTTTAATCCTCTGATTCGATCTCCATGACGCAAAGTGTAGGAGTATCCGACTCTCGTAGTGATTTTACCTCGAATCCACTAATGCTGCAAGGATTTGATTTGGGGCGTTGGAGGAACCAGGACATGTAGTGATGCTTTATAGTTCTTCTCAAGTATGGCGAAGAATGTAGAGAGCTTTCTGAGTCTTCTAAGTGTGTAGAGTGTTTGAGAATTTAAGTGTGGTGAGGATTGTGACTGTGAGAGAGAGCCTTCTTTGTCTTGGAGCGTTATAGGCTCTCCAAGTCTTAATCGAGAATCGAACTTAAGACCCTCTCGCTTACAAGTGAAGAATAATATCACTATACCGTAGTATTAAACTTCATAAATTTGCATTTCACTGACATCATGTTCGCCCCATCCAAACGATATTACTTGTTCCACCACTAGACCATAGTACTAAGTAACTGCTCTGTCGAATGTTAAATGACAAAAACAGCAGTTTGCTAGAACATCATACTAATTAAGACAGTATGTCGGTGATATAATTCGTTGCAGGTCAATTCTATAAAAGGAAGGTTCACGTCAAATTTGGATTTTGGGGTCTATGAAATGGAGCAAAGGGAGTGTCGGGTCTATTTGTTTCTGGCAACATCAAATGGATTTATTAATCTCAAAGCATACATTTCATGTGATAAAGTAAAAAAATGGGAAGGATGCTTTGGGTTTGGAATGCCTTCTTCTGGCACAAATGCTCTTTGAAACTCTCGAGAAAAATCAGATATGGATATTTTATGGCAATGGTTTTTTGGTTGGTAGATAATAAGTGTACAAAAATAATTACAACTGAAAAACGCAAAAATAAGTAGCTGAGATTTAATAGAGTAAACGTATTCATTATCAGATACTGTTCTGTTGATTCACAATGTAATGTCATATGAACAAAAGGTAACATTGTATTATTTAATAATATCACACTGACGATAAATTCGTTCCATGCAAGCTCTTATCAGGATATTTATAATTGGCTCTGCAGCTCTGCGCCCAAATTTCCTCATACAGATATGAGTGATAAATGATGCAGAAATCCATGAGTCCACACCCATGACCCTCGTGTTGTGATTCATCAGAACAACAATATATGGATAGAGTCCCGTATAACAACAGAAACTAAGTCATAAACCATGACAAGATTCACTTCTCTCTTGGGGCGTTTGATAGTCTTTGCAGTAATCCTATCAACAACTACTCTCTCCATAGCTTTTGAAAATGTTGCTTCCTACTACATGGTTTTCCAGGTATCTCTCTCTCTCGTTCTCTCTGCAACTCCAAGTAACTCAGCTCAATGTATCTTCAATCCAGTAGCATATATGAATATCCCCTTCTGTAATTAGTGGCCAGGATCTTACTGTGGAGCAGCAAAGCAGGGTTGTTGCTACCCAAAGACAGGAAAACCGACCAAAGATTTCAAGGTTGGTGGGATATGGCCCCTTTCGTTTACCGGAGAAATGCCTACCAACTGCGAGTCCAACACCCATTTCCGTTTATCTGAGGTAGGTACCCTAAACCCTCTTCCATTATCACTCTACTAATAACTAATTTTACTTAATTTTGGGACTGTTTTAACTTTTAATTACCATGGTTCATTAGACAGGATGTACACATATGAAATATTTTTCTTTAATAGTCCGAATGACTCAATATGACAAAAAATAGACGATCAGAATTGAATTGAGAAAATATTATTTGTCCTCAAATTGCCAATCTAATTGATAAAGAGTCAAACAACTGAATACTCTGGACTACTAAAAACAAACCCATACATATGATCTTGCTTTTACTTCCCCAGTATGGACATTCTTTGATTTGTTAGAAGCATCTATAAAATAAAAAAAATTAAAACTATTTAAAACGGCTCAGCGTGCATGTGTTGTGATCAAATGTCCCACACCGAAAATCGGACAAACTTTATAAAAACGTATAAGGAGTTGTGTCATTAGTCTCATTGCCAATTGTTTTTGTCGTTGGAAGCTTCAGCTTCTTGTTTCTCTTCTGTAGTTGTTTGGATCCAAAATAATATTATTGGGCCGAGCGTAGGTTTATATTCGGCCCAAAATTTTTCCAAATGTATTATGGGCTGTCTAGTGGTCATAAGCCGCTCAGTTAAGGCGGTCGAGTCCTATTGCAAGAAGGAGTGATTTGGATAAGAGCGGATGGGTCGAAGTCCTAGTATGATAAGGAACCTCAATGGAGTGAGGACGCTAATTAAGATTTGAGAAGTGAAGGTGGCCGGGTAAAGAGTTTGGTTCAAAGTCCAAGTAGGAGTAGGATTGGCCGAGCCCTGGTAGGACTAGGACGAAGAATCCTAATCCGAGTATAGTTCTAATTCGGCCAAGATGAGATTGGATGCTATAAATAAGAGGGGGAGGCGTCATTTGAACCCTCCCCAATTCAACACACAAATTGCCCTGTGCAAACCTCTCAAACATCTTGAGATTTCTTATTTTCTTTTTCCACCAACACATTTTCAGTTTGGATAAATAGTATTGTGAAGGCAATCGTTGAACATCTTCAGTTTGGATAAACAGTACTGTTGTCGTAGAATCAGTCGACCGAGGAGCACCTCAGTTTGGATAAACTGCACTGCGTCGAGACCGACTGGTTACCTATCCAAGTCTCAGTCGAGAAGGATTTCCGAATCCTTATTGGCAGAGGTCATCTTATTAGCCTTCTTGGCGAAGTAAGGTGTTACAAGTTACTACATTCAGCACATTGAACGCCGAGTGATTTTATGATTGGATACTCAGAAGTGAGTTTCAGAGTTCGGCCTTCTGACGGCCGAACCACATTTACCATCAAGACATACATCTCTTTTGAATACCTGTGTCCGTATAATTTGGAGCCGGTTCAATGTGCTTATACTCTTACAAATATAATCACCGCAACTGAACCTGATGTCGACGATTCATGAACTTCGCAGAACCAGCAACCTTGTCTTCAAGCTCAAGAACCCGAAGGCCAAGACGTGTTCCTTCTTTGGTCGCAGTTGTAAGATCAAGAAGTCAGCAGCACGCTCAACGCAACATCCGACGAGTTGGCACGGCCCGCATCAACCGAAAGACATAGTTAACCCATTAGTTATTCAACCTGCGCGCCACATAAACTTGACAGTTTTTAAGTCAACAGTAGTATATAAACAAACTTTACACGGACTTATACTTGACCATTACACTTCTGATTGAATAGATCTCAAACCTGACAAAGAGCTTGGAAAATGAGTGGCCATCCCTTTCCTGCCCAATAAGTGGCAGTAGCAAACTATGGGAGCAGGAATGGATGAAGTACGGAACTTGTTCAGAACCACTCTTCGGTGGTCAATATCATTACTTTCATGCAGCTCTAGACCTCAGGAACAAAGTAAACATCTTGAAGATGCTCAGCAGTGCAGGTCATTTGAAATACTTCAATTTCACTTTTATATATATATTATATTTCTCTTATATCTAATGTTCTTTTTTAATCGATGGAGTTTGTTTAGTTTGGAACTTTAATTTGAACCTATTCTGGTCGTTGAAAAATAAAAAGAAATATCACTAGATCAATATCTTACGTAGATCCTTTCAAAAAATATCTTACGCGGATTAATACGCACAGAAATAAATTTGATTGCAGGAATCCATCCAAACGGGTCATTCTATAGTCTACGTAAAATTGTTGATGCCATACAATCAAGAGTGACATACATGCCAGCAATAATGTGTTACGAGGACAAATCAGGAAACAAACAGCTCTACCAGATTCTTCTTTGTGGAGACACTACTGGAACTAAAATTGTCGACTGTCTTGGCCTGCCGCAGTCAAATTGCTCTGAAAAAATCAAGTTCCCTTCCTTCTAGTAAGGAAAATGAAAAAAAAAGTTGTTTCTTGCAGAATTTTATGGTGAGCGGTTAGATCTTCATTCTTGTGTACCTTTCCAAGCTGCTTGCGTTTCAGTCTCTTCACACTATGTATGTGAGTTCAGTTCATTTATATTTTGGGAAATCCAAATATATTTCATTATTTATGAATTATAAGTATTTTTACATGGTTATTTTACCGATGTGCGACAACAAGCCTATGTACAACTTGACTAGTATATACATATATACAAGTCACAACACTTCCCCTTAAATTGGAGCAAATATATCATGCATTTCCAACTTGTCAAGCGAGTTAGAAAACACACTACTAGACACAACCTTAATAAGCACGTCAACGAGTTGATCTTCAGACCCCACAAACAAAAAGCAATAACTCTAGCATCCAATTTTCCCTTGACAAAGTGTCGATCAATCTCCATATGTTTATATAATCATGTTGCATCAAATTATGAGCAATCTCAATAGCAGCCTTGTTATCACAATAGAGATTTATAGCATCCTTGGGTTTAAACTCAAGATCCCTCAACAATTTCTTCAACCACAACAATTCAATACACCATGGGACATAACATGAAGTTCAGCTTCTCTATTGACCTAGCAACCAGTTTCTGTTTCTTGCTTCTCCAAGTAACTAGATTATCACCTAGAAAAGTAAAGTATCCAAATGTAGATCGTCGGTCAATAATAGAACCCGCCCAATATGCATATGTGTACCCTTCTATGTTCAAATGACCATTCTTGAAAGAAAAAAAACATAGTCTCTACCAGGAGCCATCTTCAAGTACCTCAAAATACGAATTACCGCATCCATATGAACTTCACTAGACGAGTGCATAAATTGACTTACCACACTAACTACACAAACAATGTCATGGTGAGTGTGAGACAAATAAATTAATTGCCCCCACAAGCCTCTAATATTGTTCTTTATGAGTAGGAAATTGATTTGGAAAAAGCCCAGAGATGATTCTACTCAATCGGTATCAATAGGTTTGCAATATAACATACCTGTGTCAACCAACAATTCAAGAACATAGTTCTGTTGAGATAAAAAAAAATACCATGCTTGGATCTTGCGACCTCAATTCCAAGAAAATACTTCATTATCACTTTGTTATCATCATGCTCGCACCCGTCATATTGAACTTGATTATCACTCTGTTCGTGAAAAGGCGGCACTTGGCAGTCATCAGGTTTGTTATATTTCCTCTACTGATCAGTCGGCTGACCTTACCGAAGCTCTTCATCAACACCTGCCATGGTGTTCCTTATTCCAAACCTGTCTGATCCAACTTGTCTAGTTTGCGGGAGGGGGTGTTAGAAGAGTGTTAATTAAACAACAATCATCTTCGTAATTTTAAGAATGTAATTTGATAATTGTATTTATTTTAGGATTCTTCCACATATGGCTTTTGTCAAACCCCATATATATTGTAACCATTGTAATCAATTAAGGAGTCAAATTTCTACAATACCCAAGAAGCACACATCCCATCAAGTTTATTCCATTGATAAGAGTGTGCATAAGAGACATGTTTTTGTAGCACATCAATCGAAAATCCTGAACCCAACTTGGAACACTGTTGATCAAATACAAGCAGCCACAACAGCGTGCAATATACAAACTTATTCAACATCAAGGAGCGAGCAACCTCCACTTTTTGAAGATTCTTCTATTCGGACACCCCATTTTGTTGGGTGTAAGCGGAGTAGTCGGGTAGTGAATAATACCCTAGTCACAAAAGATGCATGCCAAGGTGTTATTCACATATTCTCCTTCGTTGTTAGACTTGAAGACCTTAACTTTAGTTTGAAACTGAGTAGACACCATTGCACAAAATTCTTGAAGAAAAGAAGGGACATCACTCTTACTTTTCATCAAGAACACCCAAGTTAATCAAGTATTATCATCAATAAAAGTAAAAAAGTATAGCAAAATTCGTTTGATGGACCCCACACATCAGAACGTATCAAATCAAATGGTGAAGAAAATTTAGAATCACTTAATGGAAATGAAGCACGATGACTCTTAGCCATGACACATATTTCATACTTGAACATTGAATAACTACAACTGTGAAACAAAGAAGGAAACTGATGCTTCAAATAACAGAATGATGGATGTCTCAAATGTCTATGCCACAACCCAGTTTGATGTTTGTCATCCACTTTGACACTTTAGAACTCGATGATTACTTGAACTTAAAATAGTTGTATCCTTCAAGTTGAATTATATTTTGGAATTTTTTTTAATATATTTCATTAATTTCCAATATGGAGTATACATAGGAATTAGAAGTATTGTTACATGGTTATTTCGCTGATGTGAGACATTAAGCCTATTTACAACGTAATTAATATATACATACAACTCCCAACAATGTGCATAATGTACCTTTCTCAAAACCCAAAAGTAATGACAATTAAGTTCTATAAGTGTGAATAAATGGTTGTTTCGCCAATGTGAGACATTAAGTCTATGTACAACTTAACAAATATATACATACAACTCGCAACAATGTGCATAATGCACCTCTCTCAAAACCCAAAGTTAATGACAATTAAGTTCTATAAGTGCGTATAATTTGCCAAGTAAGATCTTGCCATGTTGCTAGCTAATGAGTTGTTCAGTTTCCACGTGTTATCAATTTGGTCTAGGTCATAGTCAAATTGGTTAAAGGCACACCATTGGCCTCATTCATTAGTACCACCTCGAAGCAACTCCAAAAGACCTCCAAACAAAAAGCTAAGAAAAGGCAATCACAAAAGCAAAATAAAGAAAATAAAGTTGCTTCTAGGTAGCTTTACCTTTTGCTTAATTTGCACGATTGTCGTGGGTCACAACTTGCTATTTGATTACTGAATGCGCAAAGCTTCATGTATTTTGCTTCTTTTCTTATTGCCCAAGGTCATCCTCAAACGTATATCCTAGCCAGGAAGGACTATATCTTAATCAGCAAACATGTTACTTACAAGTAGCTCTCGGGTTGGCCACTTTTACCCTCGAGCATGCTGCTTTTAGTACTATGACAAAGCCTTTGTGGAGCCCTTGTGGGCATCTTATGTCTTTTTACCTTTTACTTTTTTTTCTCTCCAAGTAAAATAAACTATTACAGTATAGTCCTGCAGTGGAGATGAAAATAATGTAACCGAGACTACACCCAAAAATAAAACTATAGGGAGCTAAAACATAGCCTTCTCCTTGGCCCTTTATTGTTGCTGGTTGAGGACTAAATGAGCTTCTCAATAAACATTCCGAAATTAAATACAGGTGTAAACATTTTTAAGAGCTACATTAGCAAATCCATCATTTGATTGCTGAAATCTTCGTAAAAAAGTTTTTTGGAAAATTAGCTATAGTAAACATATTTTTCATTTGATTTTCAGAAATGATTATTTTTTGTAATGCCAACATATTGATTATATATCAACGACACAAATGTGACATACCAATAACACAACAATGATATAATAACGACATAATAACCACTAAACATTTTTCTTTTTGCAACTAAATGTTAAAATATGTTTATTATAGCTAATTACCCAAGTTTTTTCTTGATTGCCTAAGGAGCTTCTTATAAAAGTTGTGTTTGTGCTCTTCCAATAGGTTTATGAAATGACAATTAACCCTTTCTTCTTTTTTCCAGAAAGTATAAAAGTTTATAGGATCAATTATATGTAGTAGTTACTAAAAATTTATTACTTCTGCAACTAAATCTCAAAAAGTGTTCATTATTGCCATTGCCTGAGCAGAGAGAGATAGATGAACAAGAAGAAAGAAGAACTCAATTTGTGTACATAAAAACTGAAAGACAGTAATTATAATATTATAAAGAAAAAGAAGGAAGAATTAATCTATTGGTTGAATACTATTTTGCCCTTGAGCTGCAGGGAGAGCGTATGTAGGTTCCATTTGAGGGATGAAACTTGAGCTGACAATTCAAGTGACCCCAGAACTTCACTGAACCAAGCGGCCCTACTCTCCACCTTGCCCTCAAGTTTCCCTTCAAGTTAAAAATAATTTTGTCCCGCTTCAACGAAATGTCGACTTGATCCATCAGCTCCGGACTCAGAGGAATCGGCGATGATTGCACCAAGTAATGAAAATCAACTGAACTATTTTTCTTGACTTCAAACGGATACGCCACCAGCCTCGCAATGTTCAGCCCTTGGAAGCTTAGAATGAAGCTCGTGTCCGAAAACATTGCGTGCGCTTTGGTGTTGTCGTTCTCCGCCCTTACCACAATGGTGATCTCCGTATCAAGAAGACCGGCCACGGTGTATTGGAAGGTTTCGAGGTGAGCGGAGGTGACGGTGACGAAGGGCACCCTCGGATGGATGATCATGTAGCCGACAAACACCGCGATGCCCGCGATGATCACGGCTATGGCTATAACGGTGCAGATGATGGCTGCAAACCAAACCAAAGGGTGTGTGGTTCTTTGGTGATGCGGACCATGGATTAATCTTCCTGCTTTTTTCATTGAGGGCCAACCCGAAGAGCGACAACATATAGGGCAAGAGCGTTTCGGGGTTTTATGGGCAGTTTTATGTTGGATCAGGTGGCGGTGGTGGTGGTGAAGATTTTAGTGTTGAGCGGCTTCCCCCAAGACGTGGAATTCAGTTGAGGTTGTTCCTAGTTCTTAATGGTAGGGAAGGTTTTGGTATCTTCCTTTCCTTGCTTGAAAGCATTTGTGTTGTCTGTATTTATCATATTATATATATATTTATATATCCATCTAGGTCTCTTGCTCACTACTTTGCTCTTATAAAGCAAAATATACCAAACTTGCATTGCTACGTACACTTGTTGCCTTTCAACTGTTTGCAGATGTGCCAAACATTAAACTTCTACCATGTAATGTAATATGACTAAGAATCATACAAAATATGTATTCCATACGTTCATTCTATTATGATTAGACATAACGGTTTTACTTTTGATTCATCTTTTGCGCTTTAGAATAATAATCACCGTTGGATTTGTGATGTATAGTACACTATTTGTAGAAAGACTCATACGGAAACCCAATATTTTCATTTTTTCTTTTTAAAATATGAAATAGAATAGATGCACATACAGAAGTTTTCACTTTTATGTGCCTCCTTGAGAAAAGAAACACAAATCTCCAACTAGAATTTTGTGGGAATTGGCCTTTCTTCTGTACGAAAATTTTTTCAATGTGACCAGTACACGGAATGGTACATCACGTGTAACTATACAAATGATATGATATATGTGTTAAAAAGTTAATAACTTAAAAAATAAAATTTCCCACCACTTAAATAAAAACACGTTGTGTACCCTCCGCGTTCCGATCACAATGAAAAAAATTCTCCTTTTGTACGGGCTTGTAATTGGTCGGTTCTTTGTCTCATAAGTTCATTTACTTACCCACAAAGAAATGGGAATGGTATGTGTACGATGTGACATGCACACCCATATGTCAAAGCCTGTTATACCCTTTGTAAAATGACTCAAATCACTTCATTCCATTTTGAAATTCAACAATTATGCTCTAGCAATTGCTTTAAGTGACAGCATTTTCAAATTTTCAGAAAGAAAAAAATGGCCAAAATATTTCCCTTGATGTTTTCTCCTCAGGTAAATTTCGACAAGTCTAAAGTATAAGAAATTGTTACACCGATCTGTAAATGCTTCGGATAACGAAATCTAAGTTTCTCTTCCTCTTTTCGTGATTTCTACTCCTTGTAAGACCAGCAGCGATTTTTGCTACATGGATTGCCATTTACTGATCCTGGAATTTCATCCTACAAAGTCATACGCGGGATCATCGATTGCTAAACTCTTTCCTTGAAGATCTAAGAGACCAACTGTTAGCAACACAGGGTTACCTGTTCAGAGATCAAAGAATCAAGTCCGCTTAATCACCTTAGACCATGCTAACCATCTCTTATGAAATTAAGCTATTGAATGAAGCAGAATTCAAAGCAACATCTTCTACCTTCAAGAAACGTACCCATTTAATCTCTGAGAGTCGCAATATTCAGGAAATTCACATTGGCACGGATTTGTTCTAATCTGAAAAGCACGAAAGAACTTAGTTTAACATCATAAATCTAATTATTAGAACATAGCGCAAAACTGGATAGCATGGAAACAATTTAAGGTATTGAACCACATGCACATGCAATGTACCCTGAAGGAGATTAGTTCGGTATTTAAATACAACTATGAACACAGGGGAAGAAAGGGAAAGCAAGGAACTCAGTTGAAGCACTAGAATTCACACCCGCACAGCCATTCAAGTATGGTAGCAAATATAAGAAGTAACAAATAAAACTGATGATATTTCATTAGTGCACATACTTGCTCAGTTCTTGCAGCATCTTCAGTCATAATTTTAATGTATAACTAAACAAGTTTATGTATCCTGATACGTGTTATATCATTGCAGATATGGCATGTATACTATGTGCCGACATATGCTACATCACTATTATGACGACAACGGTGATTTAACAATAACAAAATCGAGTATGAGTAGGAATGTTTTTTCTATACAACTATGTGCCCACGTATATTAAGGCCCCTTATTTCTAATCAGTGAGAATGGTAACCACATTGCTGTCCATAATGGGAGCCATTTTGCTAGAGCCTGTGAGACGATCATATGATTCAATACAACAGCTTGTAATTTTATAGATTATTAGGATTCCAAGCCATTGGATTGAATGACATCTGATCCCACATTGAAAACCAAAAACCTGAAAGCGATATATAAAAAGAATAAAGTAGAAAAATATAATTAATTTTGAATGGACGTGGGATCTTGCAAAGCAGAATCCCTTTTAACAAAATTCATTTTAAGTTCCCACTTTTTTGCACTCTATATCACAAGTTCACGACCTACATCAGTCACTCTAAGCTATTACACAAAACAGCCAAATTATCATAACTGACCTCCAGAATTTCCAGAAAAGGCAGGGTTTTTTAATTGTAAGTTTCTGAATCCAAACATACTATAAGTACAAATGTGATGGTTTTCAAAAACGGCTATACGACACTATTGACGGATTTTTCATACATAAAAGAGGGTCATATATCAAAGTGGCAATTGAGATGCTTACTCTGTATCGTCTAAGGCATAGCAATTTATTTCCTTCTGTAACTCATATTCAAGGATTCCGAGTATGAATTTGAGTTTCCACAGTAGCAGCCTAAATAAAAACAAAAGCAAAGGACTTTGAATGTTATGTACCTTACGAAGTGTGAACGACACCCTCCTCGAGCCTCGCCTTATCACACTGTCATTCACCATGTCAATCTGTGAAAGAAGCAATTAATGAACCTTTTCCATCAATGAGAACGACAATCCACCAATGTGTGAGAGAGAGAGAGAGAGAGAGAGAGAGAGAGAGACAGAGAGAGAGAGAGAGAGTGCATGTGGTGGTGAATGCTGTGATGATGAGATGATTGTGTTTGATGCCATATATGTTCAATGGTAAGTAACATTTCTAACACATTCTTACAGTAGTGTAAAATGGTTTAGGTGACTAGCAGGCTAGACCCCAGCACACAACAAGTTGATAATTCAGAAAATATATAAAATACCTTATGGTGTGGAATGTAATGATTCCACGCATAGCGCGCCTCCCCAGATAACAGTAGCATAGACCGTGTAGGAAGATAGATTGCCCTCCTTAAAAAATTTGAATTCTTTTCAGAACATTCCACTTCAAAATCAGAACTTGAGGAAGGTCTAGGAGGCAACCCGCCTTCCAGATATCTTCTAAACTCCATAATGCAAGGTCCTGCTAATGAAAGGCTGAAAATTAATCCCTCAAAAGCAGAATGGGTGTCTATATGTGGGGACAAACCCACCCCAGATGGGTACTCATTAACCTGTAATATAATAGTCTAGCTTCAGTATGCATATGATGATGCAATAACTCGTATTCTTAAGACATACTAGTTCATGATATTCCATATCTAACAAAAGATAACAGCTATCTTCTTCCAATAGTTTCAATTCAACACAAAATAAAAGTAAGAAAACAAGATCTATTTTGTCAAATGAAAGAACTATCACAAATAAAGTGCAGAATATATAGTCTCATACCGTTAATTGGTCCAAAACAATAGCTTCAGCATCCTTGCAGTTTGGAAGCATAGATATCTTTTCAAGTATAGGGGATACAAATCTTGGAAGTTCACCTAAGTTCTTTCTAGAATCAACGTTCCTTGTCTGTAGCAACAAGAAAAACACAATTATACAGAAACTCAGAAACACTTGGAAAGTCCCTCACATTCCTAACTTAATTAGCAATCCAGTATTGCTTTAACCCTCTCATTAAAAATAAAAAGAAACAAAAAGTAGGAAAAACAACATAATATCTAGAAACTATTCCAACACAACTACAAATCATTTTATATTAGAATGGATGATAGAACCCAAACATCTTAAACTAAATTGTAAACAGGACAAGAAACCACTATCAATATAACTGGTTTCAAAAAAAAAAGGAGATTCAGTTGTTAACATTCCAATAGAATATCTTTATCATTGCTCTGTTTTAAACCAACTTCCAAATTCTTCCTCTGGTTTAACCAATTTCCCATTTCTAGCTCTGTTTCAACCAATTTCCAAGTTGTTACTCTGTTTCAAACTGATATGGAAAAACATATAATGGAATTTACAGAATTTTGACAAATTCACGAGAAGAAACATTCCCACTCCCATGTTTTAACATGTTGGCCAAACACCGGACCAAAATGTCAATATTTTCATCCATGGACTGATACGTCAAATGTAATGATTAAATTTCAAACGAGATATTGCTGTCCAACAAAATAATTGGATACTTTCACAATGGTGTAGTTTACGAACAAATAATCAAGTTTAGGAGGAGGCAAGCTGTGAAATATCTGAGGCTTACTTCATAACAAAATTCATAGCCATAATGCTGAACCCTTCTTTTCGAAAGATTATTCCAATGCCTTTCATCAACTGCTGCAAGTAACTCCTAAAGAAACAAAAATAACATACATATATAAGGTGTAATGCAGAAAACTATGTTGACACCTCACAAGTTTAAAAAGAAAGTGTATGTGGACAAAGAATGAACACCTCCTCTTCTTTAGCAGTGACAAAGTCATGAAACAAGTAAAGGCCAGGAATGTTTAAATCCGAAGCCAACAAAGATACGGGAACTGAATCATTTGCTCGGCCCTAAAAGGACATCAAATACATTAATGTGAGAAGAAATTGATGAATGATATACATATTCTGGGAAATCAATTTATGCATCAAAACTCAAAACAACAATTTGAGCAACCACGCAATGTAACGTTTTGTTCCTAAGTGGGAACCATGATATACAACATCACGGAAAAAACATTGAGGCTATGCTTGGGTAAGAGATTTCTAAGTCCCAAGAGATTGATGCCAAGGTAGTAAGGAAATGACTACAAATTGCTAGATAGAGGGAGCATTGCAATAGCCGATAGGCATGTAAGAGCGATTTGTCAACGACTCATTCCAAATAGTGATTTGCAAATCCCTCTCGCATGCCCTTGTAATGTTCATGAACGTCATTTCTAATCTCCGCTATCTAGCACTTCCTAGTTCATTCCTTACAAACTCGGCGGCCTCATTCCTTCCTAAAAGTAGCTAATTTATTCAATACAACCAATAAAAATACACACTATTCCTGCTACCCTAAAGATTCACCAGAACAATGACGAGCATCCAGTTTTACCAAATCAATTAAAACAACCCAACAAACAAAAACGAGTTGAATTCCAAACCTGCGAAGTGGGTTGAATCACAGAGTACCGAATGTGCAAGGAGCGCCCTCCAAGCTCAGGGCAAGGCCGACCGCCCAATGCATTCAAGGCGTTTTGGGCACAACCCTCTTCTGCAAAAGACACAACAACCCGAGCGCCGCTGTCGTCAGCCCCGTAGACTCCTTTGATTTCACCGAAGGCCGCAAACACCGCCGCTATGGTGTCGTAGGAGAGTCCCACTGCTGGCCCACAGTTGGCCACGTATAGGTTGGGGCTCGACTGCCCTTTTCCTCCCTTTGGACGCCCAAATCGTGTTAAACCCATGAATGGTGTTCGCGCCACGGCAACTGCAAAGTTACCTCCGGATGTTTATATGTCGTAGCCTTTTCCTTTTGAAAATTCTCTCTACCCCATTATTCTAATTAAAACTTAGGGCTAATTACCTTTTAAGTTTGAGATGATTTTCAAAATGTATCATTGAATTTTCTCATCCAAACTACGTATTAATAAATAAATAAAATTATCAATTAAAAAAGGATGAAAATATATTTTTATCCTTTATCACAATTAAAAAGTTAAGAACAGTAATGTAATATATACAACAAAATTTTACTTTTTTTTGTTTAAGGCTCACTCACAGGTGATTTTATTATCTTCAATTTAAGAAAAAATAAAAAACAAACATCTCTCCCACTCTCCTCATCCCCACATTCTCTTTCACTTCCTTTCTCTCTCCTTAAAAACAAAAGTCAAAAATTTTGCACATTTTATGTGTAGGCATATACTAATTTTAAATTATAAGGTTTTAAAATTAAAGTTACTGCATCTTCAATCGAAGATGTAATATGCTTGAAATTGCTACCTTACATATTTAGAGGGCTGAAAAACAATTCAATGACAGGGTGTAAAATATTTATTCACCGGAAGAGATATACAAAAATGAATATTTACATACTTTCGAAAGGAAAATAAAAATGAATATTTACATACTTTCGAAAGGAAAATAAAAAAACAAGACTGTAAATATAAAATCAAAAAAGAAAAGTAAAGTTTGGTACCTCATTTTACGATTCCAAAACGACCATTTGACTCATACATGTACTTTGGTTAAAGTATCTGGAGAAAAGTACGAAGTTGGGAGAAAAAGATGAAACAGTTGAAAGTTTTTGTTCAAAAAAAAAGGATTCGGGTTGTGTGGAGTATAAGTAGAAATATACTTTTAAGTTTTAAGCAATACTAGCATTTATGCTTGTGCTTACGCAAATGTAAAAGATATTTTTTAAATCATGATGTGTTATATGCAATTTACATATTTTTAATGTATTTATATGTGTGAATTGCTTTAATATTTTCTTTTTAAATGAAATCATTATATTGATTTTTTATTCTTTCAATTTTTTTTTATGCTAGTGGGTTAACAGGGGATGAAAGGGATCCTTGCCGGATTCTTTTTCTGAGGATACGAAAGATCTCGTAATCATGTCCGTTCATCGTACATCGTACGATCAATTTTCGTTAGGTACTATTTATATTTAATTTTAAATTTTAAATTTCAAATGATTTCCCCCCAAATGATATATATGATTGAATCTTTTCCCCCCAAATGATATTACCTGCTCTAAAAGGCTTTATAGCTAAAATGGTTCATGAGATTTTCATCACATGACTTTGGTTCTTGAGATTTAAAAACAATTGAAGTGGTTTCTAAGATTGTTCATCATCCATTATTTTGATCATTTCATTAAAAAATTCCGTTAAGTGGTCCCTAAGCTTTTTAATGGAAGAACCAAAATGATCGATAGTGGACAATCTCAGGAACCAAAGTTATATGTTATACCCTTAACTTAATGGAGTTTTTTAAAGGAATGACCAAATTAATGGATAGTGGATAATCTCAGGGACCACTTCTATTGATTTTAAATCTCAGAACCAAAGTTATGTGTTATGCAAATTTCATGGATCATTTTGACTAAAAAACCAATATAAAATAAGGGTTTGATTTGAGTGGGGTTGGCTTTTTGGCCTTTGTGTGGATGATGGCAGTGAGCTTCCACTGCAGTAGCAAAATGGAAGACTAAGTTCATCTCCAACCGAATGAGGATTAAAGGGCTCCCTTTAGCCTTATAGCCCTCTAAGAAATTAATATTTTAATGAACAATGTTAGGCCATATTTTTTACCATCTCCAACCAAGGGGTCAAATGGTCATAGGCCAAACATAGTTATGTGATAAAAAAAAACATCTCCAACCAAGAAGGCGAAAGGATCATGGGCCAAACATAATTTATTATTTTAATTGAATTAATATGGTTACTTAAATTAAACTACCTTATTAAAATAATGTTTTCGGACATATTAAAAATTACAACAAATTCAATTTAAATATTCAACTACTTCATTTTAAAAACTACAACATCTTAAATTTAAAAATTACAACTTAAATATTAAAGACAACAACAACTTCAATTTAAAGACTATAATCATCATCTTCATCCGCCATTATAGGAGTATAGTCGGATGTAAACAACTCTTGGGTCATAATTTCCCTCTTTTTCCTATCAAAATATGTCTTACTCATTAGAGTGTAATCTAAAGTGTTCCATTGCATGTTCCTATCATCCATCTCTTCTTGTATTTGTTTTACTCGTTCTTCGTGCATATGGTTCCTTTCTTCCACAAAAAAGACATTTTGCTCTACCATTAATCGCAATGAGGATGCAATTTCATGTTGAAAGGCGTAATCATCCTTTGCATTGCCCTCTTCCTTCAATTTTCTAGCCTTTTTTCGTCCCGTAGCCCTAGGTATGGAACCTTCACCCCGAGACGGATTTTCTACCCTTGTTTCTTGAATAGTAGGAGATCCATGTTCATCCCCATCTACATTTGAGGAAACATTTCCAAACACCGGTGTAGGTTCAACTCTTTTTTGAGGTGGATCTTCAAATAACACCCGTCCTTTACAAATTTCCCAACAACCGTGATAACTAAAGGGTTTCGAGTTGTCCTCCATATACAATTCCTCCACTTGGTGTACCTAGAAAATATGGTTACAAAAATTAAAGGAAATTAATTTATGAAATTGAATGTGATATAATTAAATATTTAAAATAATTTGTGAAAACACTTACTTCGTCGTAGTAATTGGCTCCACTTTCCTGTCTATTTCCTGCCTTTAACATTGCTTGATGTCATTTATTCAAACTTGGATGAAGATGTTTTTTTTTTCCATAAGAACAACTCTCTTGGTTTCGGGAATTCGATGGAGCGGTGCCTTACTGGAACTCATAGTACTTTTTGGGCGTACGAGTCCAAACACCTTCATTTGTTTGAGAACTCCCCCTCACACTATCTTCTGAGGCCCATCTATAAGCCCTGCAAAAAGCTTCATCTTCTTTTCGGGTCCAAGCCCTACCTTTTATTGCAGATATGGTCATTTGAAAATTATTGAAAAAAATTGAAGGAAATATTATTAGAAGAGATAAGAGAATAGAATGTCAAGAATTGAAATAAATGAAGTAAGATAGTATGGAATGATGAAAATTATGTGAGAAATGGTGTATGAATGGCTTAGGTATTTATAGGGGAAAAATTAGAATTTTTTATTAATTTTTTTTAAAAAAATTGTCCTGAAAAAAAATAAAAACAAATCAAATCCAACGGTAACGTGGCGTCATGCTGACGCCAGGTAGTCGTTGCTAAATAGGACAAAATTTAGGCAAACCCTGAGTTTGTTGGTTGGCTCCTTTGGGCCAGCCAATTAGCTTGATTTGGTGGTTTTAGCTTGGTAGGGCCCACGAGCCCATTGGCCTAGCCCTCGGTTGGAGACGATTTTTGTGTCATTTCGAGCTATTTTTAGCCCTATAGCCATTTGGCTGGGTCAGTTGGAGATGGCCTAACATATGAAAAACTAGTCATTCAGTATTACGGTTTGGTGGTATTTCTCTTCACTTGTAAGTGAGAGGTCTTAGGTTCAAATCTCATGGATGGCAAATTCGATCTCAAATTAGGTTGCTCATTGTATGGTTTAGTCGAACTTTTCCTCCTCTAGTGTAAAGTTTATTATTGTACTAAAAACAAAAATAAAACATACGAAAAACTAACAATGAAAGAATTAAAAATTGTCAAGGGTAAAACTGAATAAAGTTATTGCATGATTTTTTGTTAAAACTCAAAATTTTGAAGAGTTTATCATTAGTGCAGAAGCTTCCTCACTCGGCACAAATTGGATCAAGCAGTATGGATCTTTTCCAGGGGAAAAAGCGTTTTTCCGTTCAATTTAACAATCGAATTATTATTGGCACGCCAAAAACTCATCCAACATTAACGATTACATTGTGTGGTGGTTAAGATTTGAATCTGATATGAAACACATGCCTAAAGCATACATGCAAAAATTAGAAGGAAATCATTGAACTTTTTTAATTGAAAAGTCTTGCAGACAAAGACAAATGGCTTTATTGCGCTCCACCACCCACTCACTTCATTGTCTCATTTAAGGAGTGTTTCCAATTAAAATGACGCTTCCATGTGGTGCGGGTCCACTAATCTATATTCTAAATCAAATAATGAGATGTTGGACGCAAGGGTAAATATTTTTAAATTTTTAATCAACTGAGTTACAAATCACTTATTTTTTTTACAAGTACATTGAAATTCTTAATAAAAATGCAAATGTTATCTAGAATAGCACTTAAGATGCTTTTTGAAAGAAGCGCACCACAACAGGAGCTTCTTCGAGTGCACTTCAAGTGCTATTTTGAACTCATAAACACTTCTAACATTTTATACCAAACATGACCGGAAACATTTTGAACAAGTTAAAAGCAATTTTAATTATTTTATAAGCACTTTCAAACAGAATGTTTGATAAATCAGTCACTCTATTTGGTATATCTCCCTTTTTGCAAAGTCAAGAAATAAAATTTTTTAAAACAAAAAAACAAAGAAGGAAGATTCTTACTTTCCACGCTAAAACAAAGCCGAACGGTTCAAATTATGAGATTCTTACTTTCCACATGTTCCAAGCAGTCACAAGGCCATTTCTGAAGGGAAATCTGAGGCCGCGACGGAGATTCTCGCCTGGATGACGACGACTCGACTTTAGAAACCTTTTTTTTTTTTTTTTTTTCCCAAAAACTTATAAACCGTTTCGATTTCGACTGAGGAGAAATTCATCTTTACCGTAGACCGACCGAATTTTCCCTTTTTCGAGGGGTTTTCCGATCTCGAAGTCCCGCTGGTTTTCTTGCGTTTTCTGGGGTTTTGATTCCACTTCCCTCTGGTTTTCAAGGAATGGATTTTTTTGGGAAAAAACCATACAGAGAGAGAAGACATTAGATGGCCTGGAGTTAACAGTTTCTGGAACGGAGGAACAAGAGATGGGTTGCCACAAAATCCATATTTGAGATGGAGATGAGGCTTCTCGGTGCTCGGGAGGAAGAACCGAAGAAGAACAATTTTTTCCTTTTTTAATTAATAAAATATTTTTTTAATTAATTTTAATTGTTAAATAAAAATTTCCTAATTTATTAATAATTAATTTTTTTTTATTCCAGTTGACGAAATAGTGGGCTAAGCTTCTGCCACGTCATCATTTAGTAGCTAAATTTACAAAAAAAACTAATAGAGGTTTAACATTGCAATAAATTTATAAATTGAGGTATAAAATTGTGATATTTAAAATATGAAGTATGAGATTGTAGTTCGACATACAGTTGAATTAATTTTATATAATTTACCCTATATATAGTTAGAGCCTCCTTCTTAACTCTCATCTTCATATCTCCATTTTCTATTACACACAAGAAAGAGACAAACACAGAGAAAATGGGCGTGAAAGTGCATGGTCTTGCTCTCTCGACATGCACATCTCGTGTCTTAACCATTCTCCATGAAAAAGGCCTTGATTTTGAGCTGCTCCCTGTTAACCTTCTTGCAGGAGAACACAAGCAGCCCCATTTCCTCGCCAAAAATGTAACTAATTAATTACATGTTTAATTATCATATTCCTTATATTCTTCGTCAATTGATCGATCCGTGGATCGATCGAATCGATCTTTTAATCGTAACATATGTACAGATTTATATTTCTGATCACGTTTTCGTTACAATTCTGCAGCCCTTTGGACAGATTCCAGTGCTCGAAGATGGTGATCTCACTCTTTTTGGTAAATATTCTTCGTTGTTTTCTCTAACGTATATATCAATGGTTACCCCATAATTTTCTCTCCCTTAATTTCTCCTTCAGATCCGGTTTTCCATAATTTTCTCTCCCTTAATTTCTCCTTCAGATCCGGTTTTGCAAATATATATATATATATATATATATATATATGTATGCACATATATATATATATGCACCTCTCTTTTACAATTTTTTAATATAATTATTTTCAAACCTCACATTTCTCTGGCAATTGCATCGTATTTATGAATTTGATTAGCATCACGATTCCTCCTTCTCCAATATCGAATGTTTGATTTCCTATATTTATTTATTTTTTGGTTTTTCAATATACATCACTCATCGGGCAACGTCCATGGTGATTTTCTACCAGTTTTGAAATATTTTAATAAACAAAACGTTTCACAAATTAAGATCATCAAGTCTCCTGAAACCCATCCCTTGCTGATGTTTAATTATATTTATAATTATCAAATTTTAATTTTTTGAAGAAAATTTGAACTTACCTCTATATCATAATTTTTTAAATCTCACTATATATAAAAAAAATAAAATAAGGCATCTTAAATTATGTATGTGCATGTGTGAATTGAAAACAAGGCATCTTAAATTATGTAACAATGTTTGTTAAGCCCAAAATTAAAAGTTTCGTCAATTCTCCGTTAATTCTTAGCACATAAGCCTCAATTATGAGGCTAAACATATAAAGTTAGCCTCATCACATGTGCATTTGTTTTCAAATTTTGATATTTTTCATTGTTTTTAATTCACATAAATATTTACTAAAATGCTACTCCGTAAGTAATAATATTTAATGTTTTGGATTTAATCCGGAATTATTTGGTGCGTGTTTCGAACCATTTGTTACCTTTTTATGATACTCATTTGGAACATTTGTTTATAATTATATGGCAGAGTCAAGAGCTATCACTGCATATGTGGCTGAGAAATTCAAGGAAAATGGTGTTGATCTGATCAGGCACAACAACCTCAATGAGGCAGCTCTGGTCAAGGTCTGGACAGAAGTGGAGTCCCAGAGTTTCCATCCTGCAATCTCTCCCATTGTCTTCCAACATATCATCGTCCCCATGCGTGGACAGACACCGGATCAGGCCGTCATCGACGCCAACTTGGAGAAGCTCGCGAAAGTTCTGGACGTGTACGAGGCCAGGCTGAGTAGCACCAAGTACCTGGCTGGTGATTTCTACAGCCTTGCTGATCTCCACCACCTTCCCTACACTTACTACTTCATGAAGACTCCGTGGGCGTCGTTGGTGAATGAACGTCCTCACGTTAAGGCTTGGTGGGAGGACATTTCATCTAGGCCTGCTTTCAAGAAGGTGGCCGAGGCTATGACCTTGGGACAAAAGTAGTGTCCAGAGACGAAAATTGGGCATAAACAGAATTTTCCGTCATTATAAGGTGGACTTGAATCTCTCCGCTAGAATAAGTGCTTTCCATCATTAGAAGGCAGACTTGAATCTCTCTGCCAGAATAAGTGCTTTCCGTCGTTAGAAGGCATACTTGATTCTCTCTGCTATAAAAAGTGCATTAATAACTGTGATGGACCCATTGTTCTTGATTTTATGCCAAATTTCTAAAAGTTCGATTTTTTTTTACGTGATCTGCAATTTTAGTTAGTGTGTGTGTGGCCGGGCTAATTTTGTGCCAAATTTTTTCTACCGACTGGATGCACATAAGCAATGGTGTGTTATACTACTCAGAGAGTTGCTAAATTGAGATTTGTAGTACTGCATTAAATATAATAATAACCATTTACAATAAGAGTTTCTGCTGCTCCCATACATTTTCATCAAGGGGAGTTTGTAGGGGAAACACTTACACAAGCCTCTCTACCAACGCACCATACACGTGATCGGCTTGGTGTTGCAGTCACAGGGCTACCTTTTGCTACATTATATGAAAATTCTAAAACGATGCTACCCAAAGTAGAATCAGAATGCCGGGGAACCCCACTGTTGCCATCAATGAATGAGTAACTGTTTGAGTTACAGCTGATACTAGTCCCCGGAAAGTAACATGATTCTGTACATGAGTCGGGATTGTGCAAAGCATCTTCTTGCAAAACATCTCCTACTCTGGACAGTATGCTGAATGCCAAGTTTCCAAGTACTCGTGAATATGCTTCCAGAATTGAATGACCAATATCCTGTAAAGTAAAGGAAGGTGATCACCAAAATCTACATCCCACTTTTCCAAGTATCTGAACAAGTTTATCAACGTTCATATGGTAAATGTCAGTTTTCAAATCAAAGCTGTTTGTCTACTGAAACTCCACAAAATAAATATCAAGAAGCTTATATATAGTTTGAACTTTGAAGCAATAGGCAGATAAACTCAAGCTTTTCTTGGAATTGAACGGATATACTTACGAAGCTTACCTTGCCGTATTGGATTTTTGTAACATCTAGAAAAGTTTGGGGAAGGTTGGGGTATTTGGTCTTCAGCTGCTGTATAAGTACTTCGGCTTGATCCAATAGTGACTCCATCTTATCAATCTCAGATAAAGGGTCCTTAATGAAGGACCAAGATGTTCGAGCAGGAGATTTACTGCTCGCTTGTTCTGCGATTCTTTCTTTCCAAGAGAATACAGCAGCTTCCAGCCTGTTAATGACTTCAAGGGCATTGTGCTCGGATTTTAGATTGAGTGAATTGAGCATTTCCTCAGCTGAGTTTGTTTCAGCAGTCAAGACCTTGTTCAGTTCCTCGGTAAGGCTTGCTTTTCCAGACTAAATACATCAAAAGAAATATAATTAATTATCAATGATGTATTGAACATTTAGACGTATAATCATCAAGCACGTGATGAAGTTACAAGGATTTGATTTTAAATTGTCTATGTAATCAATGACTAAGAATGCTATGAAACAAAAAAAAGGCTGTATTACCTTCGGAAGTGCATCCCTGATAATGGTTGGCACAGGCATTTCAAGCAGCACACTTTCGTTGATAGATCTGGCAGCCTTGAATACTTGATGCACTATCCTTCCATGACTAAGCAATTTCCTTTTAGATGTATCAGAGAGCCCAGTAGCTGGTACTTGGGGTGTTGGTAGCCACCATCTCTTGCTCTGACATGTCATTTTGTTCCTCCCTTCTGCCCGGCTACCTCCTTCTGCATACCAAAACTCAGTATCGACCATTGCCTCAAGTGTGTCCTGATAAATTGAAGATTAATAAAGCGAACAAAAGTTCTTAGTTAAAGTGAAAAGCAAAAAGAACAAGTAAATTTTCCATGGTTATCGTTGGCAATGAAGAGACCACCCACAATAAGCATGGAGTCCAACTTCTTAAGTGCTGGAAGATTCATGTGTATGTCTGCACGGGCTTTTGGGGTCATAATCTGCAGCATTAAGAATCACACACCAATCTCATTACCGTGAATTACATTTGTATAGTCAATACAAACCAACTTAATTGAAACGTACCTCTAGTGTTCTACCATTTGCACCATTTTGCTTGGCAGGAACCAGCTCAACCATATAGTTTGTAGGTGTAAGAAACCAGTCCATTTCTCGTCGCCATTTGTTTTTCCTCTCTTCAGGTAGTGGTTCGAGTTTCCACAGTTCTCCAAAAATCGTTGCTGCAAGTGCATTTTTATATTGATATCAGTGTAATGAATGCAATGTCTAACAGTTACAAAATTAGTTTATGCTACTAGTTCCGAATCTTCTTATATGATCATACGAATAGTTGGCTGTTCATGAATAATGCCAATCTTACCGGCTACATGGTGTAGGCAATATGGTAACGTAATGTGCCATGGTGAGAAGCAAATTTAAAGCAAACCTGCTAGGTTTGTAATGGCATTTGACAGTGCAAGTGCAGTGCTGAGGCCCTTGTTCCCTCCGGTGACATCTTCACCCAATAACAGCTTTGCAAATTTTTCTTTCATTGCCTCGACATCTGAGTTCTGAAGCGGATAATCAGGTTTTTGGTTAACATAGAAATGCTGGGGTCTGTCCAAGTGATCCCATTCATCAAGACTTTGTTCATCCTTGTTCACCGTCATCCATTTTGACGAGATAGATCCAGAAGCATCCTTTCCTGAAGAACAGGTTGATGCATCATCGTCCAGTGAGTCAGTTATAAAGCCATCTCCTCTACTTGTTCTGCTTTCATTTTCAAAAGATTGACTGCTGAGAATGCAATTTTCAAGTCCATTGTATGTCATTATCCCTGAAACGCGCAAGTTTAATCTCGTCATTTCTACTTTTAGACAGATATCAGATGAAACATCCCATATAAACTTTAATCCTTGCAGCAAGGCTGCAATGTAATTGGACTGTTACCAAACTGTCACAGAGAACTTCAAGTTAAAACACACAAGATAATTTACACGCCGTGTCGAGGAAAAGACATAATCAGTCAAATCTGTTCTCCTATTATTGGCTCTGAACACTATAGTGACGGTGAACCCGTTCTGCCTAAGTCCCTCTTTAGCAGGAGAGAGAGTGAGATGTGAGCACTAAAAACAAGCAGTGGCATAGTGTTATTGTTTGATCCCATGATCATTGTTCATTTTTTTCCTACTAAAAATACAGATTTGAATTGAAAGCAGAAGCTTCCTCACTCGGCACAAATTGGATCAAGCAGTATGGATCTTTTCCAGGGGAAAAAGCGTTTTTTCCGTTCAATTTAACAATCCAATTATTATTGGCACGCCAAAAACTCATCCAACGTTAACGATTACATTGTGTGGTGGTTAAGATTTGAATCTGATATGAAACACATGCCTAAAGCATACATGCAAAAATTAGAAGGAAATCATTGAACTTTTTTAATTGAAAAGTCTTGCAGACAAAGACAATGGCTTTATTGCGCTCCACCACCCACTCACTTCATTGTCTCATTTAAGGAGTGTTTCCAATTAAAATGACGCTTCCATATGGTGCGGGTCCACTAATCTATATTCTAAATCAAATAATGAGATGTTGGACGCAAGAGTGAATACTTTCAAATTTTTAATCAACTAAGTTATAAGTTACTTGCTTTTTTTACAAGTACATTGAAATTCTTAATAAAAATGCAAGTGTTATCTAGAATAACACTTGAGGTGCTTTTTGAAAGAAGCGCACCACAACAGGAGCTTCTTCGAGTGCACTTCAAGTGCTATTTTGAACTCATAAACACTTCTAACATTTTATACCAAACATAACCGGAAACATTTTGGACAAGTTAAAAACAATTTTAATTATTTTATAAGCACTTTCAAACAGAATGTTTGATAAATCAGTCACTCTATTTGGTATATCTCCCTTTTTGCAAATTCAAGAAATAAAATTTTTTAAAACAAAAAAACAAAGAAGGAAGATTCTTACTTTCCACGCTAAAACAAAGCCGAACGGTTCAAATTATGAGATAGAGCCCCATGTGGTCTGGACGTAGAAAGGTGCGTGGACCCACAAGTCCGGCCCACTTACAATACCTATTGCCCTACAAATTCGGGCAATTTAGTGCCTAACTTTTATCTTTTATACCTACCAAACATCCTAGAATTCGATTTGGTTGATCTAGTGAAATTGCATTCGGTCTTCTCCGGCAAAAATGACGGACATGAAGCAAGTTCATCGTTAATGTGGCATCTTAATCTAATAAACCAATTTTACTTTTAAGTTTTTATATACGTAATATTGTATTATTAATTAAGATTCTAGGACGCTGAATGACAGTAATTTACTCTCCCTTTCTGGAACCAAACATTAAATCTTCCAATAGTACCATAAATTTTCTAGTCAGAACATATAAATGCAGACAGCAGAGGATGCATGGCAAGCAAAATGCACATTGGGACCCCTCCCCTCCCCTGGATTCAAACCTAGCCTTGCAATATGGTGAAAAAGAAAGAGAGATTATATTCACACACCCAATTTACTTCTCCCACATTTTTTAAATATTTTAATATTTTTTACACACTACTAACGCTTGATAAAAAATATTAAAAAATTAAAAATGTGTGGAAGAAGTAATTTGGGATGTGTGAATATAATCTTCCCAAAAAAAACAAGTACAAGTTTGCATTTCCCATCCCATAAAAGTACAATAAAATAAGGGTGGCGCTGTTCACATACTATCTTTCATACACTCCTCTGAATTTTCAGCAGTCGGATTGAATGAATTGAAAAAGATAATGGATAAAAATTGGCAAAGTGTGTATGAGATAAAAATAAGTGTGTAAATAGCACTACTTTAAAATGGGTGAGGATCCTCTCCAGATGCTCTCTATGAGGATCCTAACATCCTATCCGTTCATTGTACATCGTGCAGCCGACTTTTATTAGGTACTGTTTGTGTTTAATTTAAAAAAAAATTAAAATAATATTTAGTGCACGATATATAATGAACGGATAAAAATTTGAGAATCCTAGAAAGAGAATCCGGATAGGATTCAAATTCCCTCTAAAATAAAAGCTCTGGAGTGACCCTGCAGTCTGCACCAATGTGGTAGGTAGTGGGTGCATTTGATATGAAACCTGAAAACCCTAAAGTGGCCAAAATTGCGCAACTTTTTTGTCATATTCCACCTACTAAAGGTAACCATTCAACTTAAATCACCGAAAATTTTAAATAATTTGAAACTGAAATAGATTAGAATATCACTTCATCACTTTTTTTCACTAATCAATTATGTTACGACCATTCAACAAATTTGATTGTCCAAGATGATTTATGCGCCGCTAATGTAGCGACTTGACGAGTATTTGACAAACTCACACCATCCATTTCAAGTGAAGTTTGTACCGTGGAAACACGAGCGATCCAACTCATAGGAGAGAAGAAAAAAAAGGTTTGAAAAGCACTTACTCTCTTGGTCGTCAAAGTCGATGCTAATCTCCCGGTCGCGGGTGCAACAAGCAAGTCTTCGCCTCATCCTTGTTTATTTTTGCCCCTTTTGATCTTTTTGCTATTGGGGTATTGTACTCAAGCAATAAAACCTAAGGAACAATTAAGATTAAGAATACGTATTAGTGTAGATTATATTGTAAAAATCGAAATAAATAATGCATTTCTTAAAGGGAAAATGTTAATGATTGCCTTAGGGTCTTAATCTCACTTCACTAACATGCGCATGTATGACCAAGTGTATATTTTAATCACTTATCTAAGCTCGCTTAAGCAGTAGCTGCTTAGAGAAGATATTAAATATACAGATAAATACAAAAATAAAATAAAATAAAAACCCACTGTGCCTGCAAGCCATGTGCAAAAACACCATAAGTCCACACTCTACATCTACCAAGCTAATTAGCTAATGACAAGTTGCAAAAGTCAAGGCAGTGTGAAATTTTCGCCCTTTCCTGTTCACACTCGTTTTCTTCTCTTTCATATTTTTACTATAGACATCTATTTATTTTTTTTCATATGATATTTTACGTAGCGTTGTTATTGGCATTCTAACAAAATTATTACATACATTTTGTAAGTGTAATTTTTTTTGTAATATAGAAATTTGGATTGCACAATGAATTTTTAACGTGCCGATAACGGCACTCACTCTAAATTACTATATAATTTACAAAAAAAAAAAAAAAAAGAAGTTATCCATAATTGTACTTGTACGCACAAATTGCTCCTCTGAACCAACTTGATTCACGAACAAACTATAAATGTTTTTAAACTAAAATCTGCGTAAGAAGTCAACTGAACTAATTCACGTATGCGATACAAATATTTTTTTTTTTTTCAAAATTGTTTAGAAGCAAGGAAAGACGTGTGAGTGAGTATCCATGTCTTTGACTGTTGGCTCCACAAGTGCAATTATTTTCTCTGGTGATTCAAATGAAGCTTCGTTTTTGTGGGCAAACACTCAACTCAACAGCCCTTTTCAGGAACTTCAAAAGCAATTTAGGACCCAAAAAAAGGACCTTTACAAAGGAAGTGATTGTTGCGATGACTGCCAAATCTTAAAAAGATGCAGAAAGTGCTTTTGGAAAACGTCACTTTTCCACAAAACCTATGTAATATTTTATCGAACTGATTGAAAAGCTTAAGTTAGAATATACAGGGTTAGTCTGTTAGATCCCTGCATTTAAACAGAAATTACCAAATAATTAAATAAATAATCCGAAAACTATTGGACAAAGCTTCAACCTTTATCAACAATTCTTGATTATAATTGTTAAGACAGCACTTAAAAGCTTAAACAAATCATATGTTGCTTACCTTTTAATTTGCTAGTGCGAATCTATCTTCAAAAACATATCAGTTCCTCTTCCTGCTCAGCACCTGCCATTGCTGCAATCAACTGGAGCTATTATTCTAGAGAGAGAGAGAGAGAGACAGAGAGACAGAGAGAGAGAGGAGAGAAAGAAATGGGGATAGGAGGAGGAGGAGAGAATGTATGTAGGGGGTGTGGGTGTGGTGCGGCATTTAGTGGAGGGGAAAGGATGTTTTATGTTTAGAGAAAGAGGGAGAAGCAGAAGAACACAGCATAAGGAGGAGGACATGGATATCAAGGAGCTGCTTTGAGAGGCTCCTCTTCCTCCTCTTCATCTGAACCGTTCACGACATAACCAGTGGGACCCGCAATCATGCTTTGACGGTTGAGATTTGTATGGGGTAATTCGGCGAAGGTCCCACTTGACTTGATGCGAGTGGGTCCTACTCCTACGTGAAATTAGTGATGAGATCTTAGTGAGCAGCGCCGATTTGTAATTTCAAAATCATTCATCGGATCCATAAATTATGATTATTTTTTCTCTCTTTCTAAATCGAAGAGAAGCTTATTTGAAATTGGCATCACTTTTATGTCAAACGGAATAAGAATATAGTTTGCGCAATTTACCAACCTTAATACGAGTTAATTGAGTGAGAAGAATTTGTCGTTCGAGTAATTATAAAGTTATCGCTTTTTTTTACATCAAGATTATAAAGTTATCGGTTTTTTGGTTGATTATTTGAATCGAACCGAAAGGTGTAAGAATTGGACGGAGATGCTATTCGTGTTAAATATTTCTGAAGGATTTGAAATGTTTGTTTTCCTAATTTGTAGGTGGAAGAAATTGCAGAGTGCATTAAATAAAACACATTCATGTTAATGCCATCTACCCACCATTCTCTAGTCTCTCTTATCCTGCCCACATGCATAAACAGTATTTCTCTCAATAAATATCTCTTGTCCAATACTTTATTTGCCGGACAAGTACTACAGTTCAGTAATATTTTTTTTTCTTCATAAAATAAAAGGTTTTATGTTCGAATCAAATAGATGATGAGAACTTATTACATTTGTAATGAGTTTGATACTTAGTTAGTGACTGACTCATTGTGTGACCTAACATCACTCGTACACTTCCCAAAAATGAAAATTAAACAAAGCATGGATGTAAAATTTATTAAGTGTTAAAAATGTTTATAAATGTTATCGAGGTCTCTCCTCTTACAAAATCCTAAATCTACAAACTCCATAGTCGTCGGTTCCTTGAACCGACTTGGGGCTGGTGGCAAATCCCTCTCCCCATTTTTCTAGCCTCCCATATTTATCTTCTTATGGATTGTTGCTTATCTATTCTTCGTCTTAGTGTTTTTGTCAATAAGTACCTCCTCGGTGAGGTTTTTTTGTGAGTCTTTCTTTGTGAATATTTTAATTTTGTGTTGGTGTGTTATTGGCTCCTTTTGGGTCGTGGTATCTTCATGATGGTGTTGGGCACAAAATTCATGTTAGTATCAACACCAATTAGTTTCATTGTCAGTTCTCTTCATGGTTGGTGTTGCTCGTTATCAAAGAGTGTCATCATATTCCTCATATGCAAGGCTTTGTGTGTACAAGTTCTCAAATGCTAAATTATAAAGTGCTTGACCTTTTTTTTAGGAATGGATTTTCTCGGGCTTTAGTGTCATCTCAATCCTCTGAATTTGAATGTGGATGATTTTAAGACTTAGATGTGTTCCTTTACTTATTCTCGGACATAATTTCAAGACTTTAGATTGAGGATTTCTTAAATATTATCTCAAATGACCTATTTAATATTTGTATCAATTCTTAATATTATAATAAAACCACTATCGTTGCGTTTCAAAATAAGTTACAGAGTACGAGGTTGCATTCCCTTCAACATAACAAATAAAAATAATAAAAATAAGTGTGAAAAAATAATCAAGTATGAAAATTGAGTGGAACTCTCTCTCCGGCATGTTCTTTTGTTTTGTTGTGTTTTTGGGTTACAACTATGGGATGCTCAAAACCAAACTGCAAACGTTTGTGTGTGGCCCCCACTTTACCGAAGTAGAAAAATAGTGGCCACGAAAGGCGCCAGTGGGAAGGGGCTTTGTCTAATTCTCTCCTGTCACTTATGGAGCTGTCGATGCTCCTTCAAGTTTCATACCCATCATTGTTCCTTGGCTTTGTTTTTTTTCTCAAAAAATACTTGGCTTGTAAGGAATCATTACAAATCTTTACTCAAAACTCTTTGTTATCGATTTAGAGAACGTCATGCTTATGATCGAAACTAGTCATATTATAAATGACTCCATAAAGATCAAGATTTGTATAAAATCAATAACAATTATGATCGTTTAGTTAATCAATTATGATAAATAATGCGAAATACTACAACTGATTAACTAAACAATAACACAACGAACTCTAATAATAAACACGAAATTCTATAATCAACCACAAAAAATTTTAAATAAAAATTCTTACTTATCCTATAGTACCAGAATACTATTCCTTTTTCTTTTGTTGCATATCTTTATATATAAAGTCATGGGCTCAATGAACGCTGTTTTTTGGTGTCACAAGCTTCAACAAAAATAATGGAACAAAAATGTTCCTCAAACAAAAAACTTCAAAAGCAACCCAAAACAATGCATCAAATGTGGCAGGGGTATTTTCATCATTTTAACAGTGTTTTTTAATAATTAAATTTTTTTGTACAATTTTTTTTTTAATAATTAGTACCTCACAATAGGTTAGCAATAATATGATTCAATCAGTTGTTCATTAAATATTATTTTCTCTAATTTTAAACACATTCAAAATTTCTTAAGAGGCGTGTAATGCCGGTTATAAAAAATGTCACTCACACGCGGATAATAATGTAATTAAATTAGTTTTCAAATGATTGTTTTTTTTTTTTAACAAATGATATTATCTACACTAAAATGGATGGATGGACTTAGTCTCATAATGTGCTAGCAATAATGTGATTCAATTAGTTGTTTATTGAATATTATTTTCTCTATTCTTAATATAAATTCAATAAAGATCGATTTTATTATGTGGATTCAGCCGTTTTAATTGGTTTATAAGGGATTTCTTCTAGTATGATCTAAGATTATTCATTTACTTAAATATTTGACTTTCCTTTTGTCAATTTACACATATAAATACATTTAAAACGTGTAAATCACGCATAGCATGTCGTGATTCAAAAAATATCTTATACACGCGCGTGAACGCTTGCATGAAGGCTAGTTCGATGTAACTAGAGGTGTATGCTTCCAATTTGTCTCACTTTCCAATTTTGAAACCCGCGCCTTGTCCTTGTGCTTGTCTTTGCCTTCTGCTTTTTGCATCACGGCTCCAACAACACTCACATTCGTATTCTAATCTACTGCACAAATATAACAAGTGCTTGGAAAAATCCAATGCCTCCCACATGGAATTGGATCCACTCCTGATTTTAGTGTTTAGAGATTAAAGATCATCATATTTGTAACGCACAAATTAAATCTGATGGTCTCTATTAACTCATTTCGTTGCCCCATTACACACAAACAAATAACCCTGATTTCTTTTACACACCAATCGACGATCCAAATGTGTTGATCTTAAGCTCCAAACACTAAGGTCCAGAGCAAATCCAATTCCCCTGCCTCCCTCAGTCCACCCAATACCCTCTTTGTATTTCTTATCTTATTAATCTCATATTTCTCTACATATATAATTAGTCCTTAACAGAACGTGCGGCGCACGCAACTTCCTTGTTTTTGGTGCGTCTATGCTGGGATACGATGGTTTAACTTATCCTTGTCCCGGCAATCACTCTCCGGGCGCGGAGTTATTTTTTTCACCGACCTCAAATCCTAAGCGTGATACGGGCTGTCTTGAATTACCCTTTCCAAAAGAAGTATGTTTCTTCCCTTCTTATTCTTTATAAAAATGCAAGAGGTTGGTTAGGCACATTCTCTCCGGCATCTCTATTGTCCCCGATTCCACCCTCCCCATTAACGTTTGTTAAAAGAAAATTAAAAATAAATAAATAAAGAAGATTGATAAATGGGCAATGAACTTTTGAATGCAACCAAAAACCTCGTAGTTTCTGCACTTTACAAGGCCCACTCAAAATTGTTGCAACACAGATTCAAATACTAATGACATAACTGTGTTACACGAGTTGAATAACGTAGTGAATTGAGCATGGAACTGTGGATTTTTAGCAAAACAAAATAAACTCCAAACTCACTCCCGAGCAACAAACGAGTCGAATGTGAGCATGGAGTACAAAATACCACATTCCATCAGTCGATATGTAGCATAAAGTAGGATAATACTTCTTATGGTACAGACCTAGCAGCATACACAGCTCAACAGAACCATTCTACCAGTTAAGGAAGCTGTTTCAATGCTTGATTTCATCCCTTGATGACGGCTGAGGAACCTCCCTTACCTTTCACTGTCTTGGCTTTCTTTCGCCCTCGCTTTTGACCTTTCTTACCTTTCGGTGATGGACCAGTAGTTTTCTTGGACCTGGATATCAAACCATAAAGAACGTGTTGTCTCAACAGAATTCAAAGGTACTTGAATAGACAAAAATGAAATTTAAAACTCAATGTTCCAGCTGCTAGTATTACCACAGTGAATAAACTAATTACAATCTAATGTTTGTAGATAAGCTTTTACCAATTTCTTTGTGACAATATGTCCTCCAAATGAAATATTAAAGTTCATAGGATATGAAGAATAGAGAAACAACTTTCATATAACTTTATTGCTCATAGGATCTGCAGAGTAAGGAAATATTAGTGTGTTACTAGAACTTTCTTAAATTTCCGGTAACAGAACTTTATCACCTGCTTAACTTGTCCATCCACTGCTTTCGGTCTACATTTTACAAGCAGTGCAATATAATACACACACAAGGACTACCGTGACAAGGAAACCTTGCTCACTAGTCGTTGGATTTTGAACTGATATTCAACTCTTAGAAAAATAATTTTTCACTTTTAAACAATGGATATCAGGATTCAATCTTAGTATCTTACAGAATTCAACACGTTTAAAGGTGTGCTTGCATGCATGTGCATTCATGCTCATTGATGAGTACGGTGTGAGTGTGTTGAAGGCAGTTAAATTAAGAAACAACGTTTTTCGTTCAGAATAGTTGATCCTAAGATCAAGAAACCAAACGTATTTTGTCAAATGTAAGTAATATATGCAACCAATCTAATGGAAGTATGATCTGCAAGTTCATTG